GGGGTGCGGTGCTCTTGCTCGGTGTGGGACAGTGACGGGCCCCCTCTCTCCACAGAGCCCATCTCCAGCGTGTCCGTCTCCATGGCTGCAGACAGCCCCCCAGCCCTGCTCTGCGCAGTGGGGCGCGGCACCGCTCCTGTCTTCCAGTGGCTGCAGGCCGGGGTGCCGGTGTCCCCGGGCCGGTACCTGCTGTCTGCGGACGGGCGCTCCCTGGCGCCTGCGGGCCTGGCCCCACTGTGCGGGCTCTTCACCTGCCAGGCACACAACGAGCTGGGGGAGGTGACGGCCAACTACACCGCCCAGGGTGAGTGTCCCCCACTCTCACAGGGGGCTGAGGGGGGTCCCCCACTCTCCCAGGGGGCTGAGGGGGGTCCCTCTCTCTCTCACAGGGGACTGAGGGGGGTCCCTCTCTCTCTCACAGGGGGCTGAGGGGTGTCCCTCTCTCTCTCCCAGGGGGCTGAGGGGGGTCCCTCTCTCTCTCCCAGGGGGCTGAGGGGTGTCTCTCTCTCTCCCAGGGGGCTGAGGGGGGTCCCCCCACTCTCCCAGGGGTTGTTAAGATCTGTGCAGTCATGCAGTAGCAGTGCCGATCTGTGTGGAGAGAAGCAGCAGGCCGGACTGCAGCTCTGTTGCTCCAGAGTCAGCAGTGCTCTTTCTTCCCTGTTGCAGGCTCCCAGTGCACTGGCCGGACTGGGAAGACTGGGAAGAGGGGGTTCCCAGGGCTGGGGGCCGGGCTGGCTCTGGCCCTGGGCTGTGGGACTGTTCTGACTGTTGTAATTCGCAGGTAAGAATCCTGGTGCCCGGGGCGAGGAGCTGTCTGCAGCCAGGCACACTCCATCTTGACAAACACTGTGGAAACAGCCCCAGTGTATTACACCTGTCTCTCTGTCTGTGCCTTTGTCCATCTGGCTTCCGTCTGTCCCTCTGCCCTCTGTCTGCCCCGCTGTCCCTCTGCCCCTCTCTGTCCCCCTGTCCTCTGTCTTCTGCCCCGTCTCTCAGTGTGAT